GAAAGTGCCCTGTCGTCATTGCCGCACACTTAAGTGAGGAATAAAGGGACAAATTACTTGGAGTCCTTAAGACACACAAGCAAGCAATTGCTTGGAAACTTGAGGACATCAATGGAATAAGTCCCACCTTTTGTACTCACAACATCAAGATCGATGAAGGGTTTAAACCTGTCGTCCAACCACAACGACGTTTGAACCCAAACATGATGGAAGTAGTGCGTGCTGAAATTGTCAAACTGCTGGATGCTGATATCATTTACCCCATTTCTGATAGCCAATGGGTAAGCCCGATTCATGTTGTCCCCAAAAGGGGGGAATGACTGTCACGGAAAATGAAAAGAGTGAACTTCTGCCCAGTCGAACTGTTACCGGGTGGCGAATGGTAATTGATTACCGCAAACTAAATGAAGCCACCCGGAAGGACCATTTTCCCCTCCCCTTCATCGATCAATTAATAGAGAGGTTGGCAGGCCATAGTCATTATTGTTTCCTGGATGGCATGAGTGGATACTTCCAAATCCATGTCAACCCGGAAGACCAAGACAAAACTACGTTCACATGCCCTTTTGGGACCTTTGCTTTTCGTAGGATGTCTTTTGGTCTCTGTAATGCCCCTACCACCTTCATGAGGTGCATGATTGCCATATTTGAAAAATGCATTGGCCACTTCATGGAGGTATTCACGGATGATTTCTCTATTTTTGGAGAATCCTTTGAAAAATGCCTTGAAAATCTGGAAAAAGTACTTATCCGCTGCAAGGAAACCCACTTAGCCTTAAGTTGGGAAAAATGTCACTTCCTTGTGAAAGAGGGTATAGTACTTGTACACAAAGTGTCAAGTCACGGGGTCGAGGTTGACCGTGCGAAAATTGAAACGATAGAGAAACTTCCTCCACCAACCATGGTAAAAACCATCCGCAGTTTCTTGGGACATGCAGGCTTTTATCGTCGTTTTATAAAGGATTTCTCTAAAATCCCAAAACCTCTCACCCGGTTACTTGAAAAAGATGCGGTTTTTATACTCTCTGATGAATGTCACCAAGCTTTCCAAACACTTAAAACACAACTGATCAATGCTCCAGTACTTGTGGCCTCGGATTGGAGTTTACCTTTTGAACTCATGTGTGACGCTAGTGACTTAGTAGTGGGGGCCATTCCCGGCCAAAGGAAGGACAAGAACTTCCACCCAATCTACTACGCTAGAAAAACTTTGTCAGGGCCACAACTGAACTACACCACCACTGAAAAAGAATTCTTTGTTATTGTTTGTGGTTTAGAGAAGTTTAGGACTTACATCATTCTTTCGAAGGTTATTATCTATACCGATCATTCGGCCATTAGATATCTCCTCCAAAAGCATGATCCTAAGCCTAGACTGTTACGCTGGGTTCTTTTGTTGCAGGAATTTGATATTGAAATCAGGGACCGGAAAGGTCTGCTAATCAGGCAGCTGATCACCTTTCGAGGTTAGATGTCGAATTAGCAGAAACCTTTGGAAATTGCGAAGTGGAGGAACTTTTTCCTACGGAGAGGTTGATGGCAATATCCGCCAATGAACAAACACCATGGTATGCTGACATTGCCAACTACCTTGTTGGTAACGTCGAGCCTACAGACCTAACAAGGCACATGAAGAGGCGGTTCCTGTCAGAAGCAAAGCACTATTTTTGGGATGATCCATATCTATTCCGAATTTGTGCTGACCAGGTGGTGAGAAGATGTGTTACTGAAACTGAGGGGAGAGACATAGTGAAGCATTGTCACAGCGACCTTACTGGGGGCCACTTTACAGGGAATAGAACTGCCAGACGGGTTATGGACTGTGGGTAATTGTGGCCCACGATTTTTACAGATGCTAATGTATTTGTTTCCTCTTGTGATAACTGTCAGCGAATAAGGAATATTTCTGGGCGCAATGAGATGCCCCAACACTTTATCTTACCTTGTGAGGCATTTGATGTTTGGGTCATCGACTTTGTTGGACCTTTCCCCAGCTCAAGAGGAAACAAATACATTCTTGTGGCCATTAATTATGTTTCTAAGTGGGTTGAAGCCTAGGCCTGCGTCACCAACGACTCTCGAGTAGTCATAAATTTTCTGAAAAAATTGTTTACTAGATTTGGTGTGCATAGGGTTTTGATCAGTGACAGAGGGACTCATTTCCACAATGATCCAATGGCCAGAATCTTGGACAAATATGGAGTACAACATCGGAGCGGAGTAGTGTACCATCCCCAAACTCAGGGGCAGGTTGAGAACGCTAACAGGGATTTGAAGTCCATTTTGGAGAAAACTGTTGCCCAGACCAGGAAAGACTGGTCGACTAAACTTGATGACGCACTTTGGGCATTTCGGACTGCGTACAAAACCCTGATCAGAACCACACTTTTTCGCCTTGTATACGGGAAGTCTTGCCACTTACCCGTTGAACTCGAACATAAAGCACTTTGGGCAATGAAAAATGTGTGTTTTAAACTTGACGCTGCAGGGAGAGAATGATTTTACCAGCTGAATGAACTGGACGAGTGGAGAGCGCAAGCTTTTCATAACTCCAAACTTTACAAGGAACGGGCCAAATGTTATCATGACCAACACATCAAGGCCCGTGATTTCAATGCTGGGGATAAAGTGCTACTGTTCAACTCCAGGTTAAAACTGTTCCCGGGAAAACTCAAATCAAGATGGTATGGACCGTTCACGGTCGTGAAAACTTATCCCTACGGAACCATCGAGATCGAAGATGCAAACCGGGGTCCCTTTAAATTCAATGGCCACCAACTCAAACTTTACCACGGTGGCCCGGTTAAAAGTTCGTGTTTTTAGTTTATTAGTTAAACTTTGCAGTTCTCAGCCTAAGAGCACTTCTCACCTGATCCACTCCCTATATATATATATATATATATATATATATATATATATATATATATTGGGAGCGGTTCCGGTAAGAATGGAATCCCAGGAGAGAAATAAGAACGAATCTGGACCGTTGGATTGTATTATGTGGAACGGAAATGTGCATTTGATGAAACTGAAATGTGTATTACATTATACTGAAATGTGCAGAATAAAAATTTAAACTCAATTGTGCATTAGGTGAAACTGAAATGTGCGGAATAAAATGTACAAAAATATCATCACATCGTACCTTTTATTCTGCACATTTCAGTTTCACCTAATGCACATTTCAATTTCACATAATGCACAATTCAGCTTCACTTAATGACATTGTATCATACGCTTTGTGTTGCACATTTCAATTTCACCTAATGCACATTACAGTTTCATCTAATGCACATTGAATTTCACTTAAAGCAAATCTAACGGTCCAGATTCGTTCTCATTTCTCTCATAAGATCATGTTCTTATTTGAACCAAAACCTATATATATATATATTGGGTGTGGTTCCAATGAGAACGGTGCTTAACGTGAGAACGTGAGAACACTCACAATTAACCCAATGTGATACACAATAGAGCCTGTATGGTGCACATTTTGACTTTGCTCCAAATAAGCCAATATAAATATTGACGGTGGCATTTTGGTAAATACTACGCCGAACACGAAAATGTGCATTGTACGAGCCTCATTGTGCATCATATTGGGGTAAATGTTGTGTTCTCACGTTCTCACGTTAAGCGTTGTTCTCATTTGATCCTAAATCTACACACACACACACACACACACACACATATATATATATATATATATACGGAGTATATATATAGATAAGAGATCAAATACAAACCATGCTTAATATACTAACATACAAACTCAATAATATGCATAACTTTGAACTTCAATATGCAGTAAAAATAATGTAAAGATGCAGGGGTGGGATCACATACAAACTAGTTCTCTCATTCAAATCATCTTTACATTATTTGTATTGCACATTGAAGTTCAAAATGTTTCATATTATTCAAGCCATAAAATAGCAGTTTCATATTTACATTATTTGTATTGCATATTGAAATTCAAAGAGTGCATCTTTACATTATTTGTACTGCATATTGAAGTTCAAAGTGTTGCATATTATTGAGTTTGTAGGTTAGTAAGTTAAGCATGGTTTGTATGTGATCCCACCGCTATATATATATGGGATGGTTCAAATATAAAGAGTTCTTTCCATGCAAAGTGTGAATGAATCTTGTCCATTCATTTTCACATCTAATGGCTCAAAATGAGCCAAAATGCACTAAATTCGACAACAATCATGGTGGCAAATTCGTAACTAAACCACACTTTTTCGCCACCGCGAAAAAGTGCAACACAAATACGAAAAAGTGCAAACGAAACATGAAAAAGTGCATATCTTTGCACTTTGCACGGAAGAGTTCTTTTTATTTGAACTCTTCCCTATATATATAGAGAAAAGATCAGGTGAGAAGTCCCTCTTAAAATGAGAAGTGAGAAGCAATCTCAGCCCTTGGATTTGCATCTAATCTTACAACGCAGTAAACTTATAGGCTGAATATAGGAACTTATAACCAATAAATCATAACTTATAAAGCTCTCCATCATAATTACGAAAATGCCACCGCGTCCAAAAAATTTCAAGGTTTCCTGGTTTTTTTTTGGTGGTGGCATTTTCGTAATTATTTTCGACGGGGTTTATAAGCTATGATTTATTGGTTAAAAATTCGTGTTTTTAGTCTATTAGTTAAACTTCGCAGTTCTCAGCCTAAGAGCACTTCTCACCTGATCCGCTCCCTATATATATATATATATATATATATATATATATATATATATATATATATATATATATCATAACTTTTACTGCGTTGCAAGATTCGTATCAGTTTACTGCGTTGCAAGATGACATGCAAGATGACATGCAAATCCAAGGGCTAAGATTACTTCTCACTTCTCATTTTAAGGGTCACTTCTCACCTGATCTCATATATATAAGATCAGGTGAGAAGTGGCCCTTAAAATGAGAAGTGAGAAGTAATCTTAGCCCTTGGATTTGCATGTCATCTTGCAACGCAGTAAACTTATAGACTGAATATACGAACTTATAACCAATAAATCATAACTTATAAAGCTCTCTATTGTAATTACGAAAATGCCACCGCGTCCAAAAATTTACAAGGTCTCCAGACTTATTTTTTTTGCGGTGGCATGTTCGTAATTATTTTGAGGGGTCTATAAGTTATGATTTATTGGTTAAAAGTTCCTGTTTTCAGTCTATAAGTTAGCTTCGCAGTTCTCAGCCTAAGGGCACTTCTCACCTGATCCGCTCCCTATATATATATATATATATATATATATATATATATATATATATATATATATATATATATATATATATATATATATATATATATATATATATGTATACTAGCATGGGCGCGCGCGTTGCGTGACAGTTGATGCCCAAGCTCGTAGGAAAACAGGAAATGTGTGGTGCATAATAATGATATGCAAATACATTACCAAAAGGTAACCGATAAAAGAGAGTCAATTAAATCTATTACAGCATGAGCAGAATAAAAAAACAGTTTAACCATTTAGGTTATAAATATACATCGAAGAGTCATAGTAACAGTTAATCAAAACAAACATCACATGTTTGGAAGTTCAACAAAGGCTGGAACCATTATGACATGCAGTGCTACTGATCTCGTAGGTATTGGTGCGACTCGGTGGTTCCTCTATACCGCAGGAACCATTATATTACCTTTAGTGATTACACTCAAGTCCATGCAAACTTATATTATCTATGTGCATTAATGGTTTTAGGCTCCATGCAATAAAGAGCCGGTTTAATAAGGGGGCGGTTTATTTAAAAATTACTATTTTCTTAAAGACCTGATGTTTGTTATTGAATAAGGTCTTCTAAAAGTCTAAGACGGGCATAGCCTATATAATGCATATAGGTTAACAAAGAATAAGATGAAGAAAAGGTAGGCTTTGATACATGCCTGGCTCTGTTTGTGCTCATCCATGTAAAAATCAATGAAGTCTCCCTGCCCCTAGACAATGTTCATGCACAAATCCACCTATACATATTGGAACAACAATAAGACCTTTTCTTGTGCTCTGTTTCTATATCTAGAAAATTAACACAAGAAGCGGATACTCGATTTAGAAAATTGCACCTGTATTATCGAGCACGTATATGCGACTGATGTTGTTTTGGCCAGTACCTGTAAGCATGGAAGAACCAAAGTTAAAAGTTGCAACTACGAAGGAAAGAATCAAAGATAAATCTCATGCCCCTCTGATTATGGAACCTGCAGGTTGCATCATATAATGAGTGTTAAGTTAGGGTAAAACATCTATAGTGATCATATAATCAGTGTTAAGAAATCTTGGAATACACACTCCTAGGCTATGTTTGGAATGCGATAAAGAGGAAGATGGGAAAGATTGTCGAAGAAACTACTCTCATTTTAATGTTTTATTATACATAGCAAATTAAAATGCAAAGAAACTCAATTCCGATTAAAACATTTTAAAGTTCTACATTCATTTTTACTCCGTACTTTTTAGTCACTATATAACAGAAATATATCAAAAGGGTTGAACTCATAATTGAGAGAATTATATTGAAAAGAACCATTTTTTATGTATTCCCTGAATGACTCTCTCAGAATTGTTATCTATTTTTCATTCTAAAATTACAAAGAAAAAGATATAAACCAAAAACCGAAAAAAATATAGTTTTGAAGGATCACCCATATCCTTGAACTATCATTTGATGCTTAGACCAAAGCTCCATTGTTCAACAACAAACGAACATTACCAGGTCACATTTGGCGAGAAGCCAAGTTCGTCCATGAAGTGAATCGACTTTAATATCTATTCATCAAATTTCCAACATCAGCCACATATTAATTTCCTACTTTTAATTCCAAATTAATGGGGTGCTTACATTAGCCCCACCGTCGATGAGCTTCTGGGCGCAGGTGATCTTTCCATGCATTGCAGCCAACATCAATGGAGTCTGAACCATCCAAAATCAACCAAAACAATAAACACCATCAGTCGTCATTATGGAGAAATATAAAGAAAATGCACAAAATATCCAACCAAACAAAAAAGAAGAAGAAGAAGAAGAAAGCGGAAAACACAGTACCTGCTTGTAGCGATTCAACACATCCGGATTGACAGATATGTTTAACAGCATATTAAGGATCTGACAAAATTAACCGATACCCATCCATTAAAATTGATTTCAGTAACTAACGATTTAATCTTTCAAATAAATTAGAGTTGACCTCGATCTGGCAGTTTAGTGAGTCGTTTTGCTTTATTCCATCATAATCTCAAGCCCAAAAATAATGAATCTTTGGCTCCATTGCAAATGACGGAAAACCTCATCGAGCTTTTCTGTATGAATTGAAAAAGTAAAAACGTGCATTTGGGTGTCCTCAGAGATAGTTTCATCACCGGACAAAATTGGGACATGTGTAAGAGCTACACAGTCAAGAGTTGGATCAGAGAGGTTTTCATCATTTCCAAGTGGAGTCTCTAACGTATCCTTGCCAACATCACAGGTAACCAATTGATGTCAATCCTCGGTTACCGCCTCGTGGAGGGTGGCCACCGCGGTTTTATCACAATCAGGACTCACTGGGAGCTTGACATCTGTACTCTTATCACAATTAGAGTCATAAGGGGCCACGGTGTGGGGTGTAAATAACGAAGTGGGACCTGGTTCAAGTATAGCAGTGACATAAAATCGCAACATTAGGGACAGTAACATCATTTTCATGAAGTGAAACATTAACAGAAGAAACCACCCAGGCTTTCACAGTTTTGGCGGCTGCATATTCAGAAAATGCAGCAGCCTTTAAGGTCTGGCAATATCAGACATTTTAGGGACTGTAACATGAAGAAGAGAAATTTCTTGTGCATCGACAAGTCTAGTAGAATTAGCAATTTTAGGGACTGTAACCAATGGATGAAAATCCTCGGTTACCGCCTCGTGTAGGGTGGCCACTGGGGTTTCATCGGAATCAAAACTCACTTGGATTTCGGCAGGTGTAATCATATCACAATTAAGAGTCATCAGTGACATTAACCGCAACATTAGGGACAGTAGCATCATATTCAGGGACTGAAACACCAATAGAAGAAACTATCCGGGCTTCCAAAGTTATGGGTGTTGCAATATCGGAAAATGCATGGGTCTTAAAAGGTCTGGCATTATCAACAATTTAGGGACTGTAACATTAGTAAAAGAAATTGGTTGGGCATCTAAAGGTGTGGCATTAACAATAACATCAGTAACATGTAAGTCATCAATAAAAATGCAAAATAAATAGGACTAATAGATTAAGTGAGACTGTTAGCGGTTATATTTAAATAGGACTAATCAAGTGTTTGGATTTGCAGAATAGTTAATCCATTACTTTTGGACCGGTTAAGGAAATAAATAGGACTAATAGATTAAGTCCTATTTACTAACGGAGTCGAGCAAATAGCTATAGTAATTTGCATCTAAATAGGACTGTTTGGATGCAAGCAACAAACGGAGCCGAGCAAATAGCTATAGTAATCCCAGCAATGCTAAGAATGTGTCTCTGTGTATATAAGAAAATGTAAAGCAAACTATTTACTACAAAAAACAAAAGATATATTAACTGTAATAAAATCCCACATTTCAATACATTACCGTTAATGTAAGTTGTCCAACAAGGATAAAACAGCAATCAAGCTATTGATCTCAGCAAATAATCGCCTTCTTCCAACGGGATTTGTAACTGTTTTGGCAATAACAGTCACTTTCTGCAAAAAGAAAGGGTGGGTTAGTTAAAGAAATGGTAAGCTAATTTAAAATTTTAAATACATGTCACTCTGCGTCCAGAAAAGAGAGAACTATTTACCTGAAAGTAGAAGAAGGATGAGATAATTGCACTCAGCCACATGAATAAGGATACACATTGTAAATATGTTGATGACAAGATAAGTCGTATCCCATCTAATATGGCCCAGAGCTGTTGAGGCTTTCCAATTGAGGAAGACAATTCTGGAGACGATTTTGTGTGTGTCACACTGTCACATCTGTTTGATCAGTAGGATGATCCACACCAACTAACCTACATTCTCATAAAACAAAAAGTAAGATACAATTTATGAGTCATGCCCCTTCTTATTGAACAACATATTCTGCATGTTAATATATGATTTTAGCATAGCGCCATAGGGACTGTAGAATAAATAGGAACCGAGTAACTTATTCTCATGAAGGCCTAGGTGAACATAAATTATAAGTGTATGTGTATCAGTGTATGTTTGGATCCTAGAAAATGCTAGGTGTGTGAGGAGGGTGAAGAAAGTTATTTTCTTATTTTAAGCTTTACCTGGAAGATGCAAAGTAAACTAAAAAATATTTGGTTTTTTTATCTTTTTAAATACATTTATTTTTTAACGTTTATCTAGTTCAAATAAATAAATAAAAAGGTACTTGAACAAATATCTCAATGTATGCATCCTAGAAAATGATATGTGGGGGGCTACGAAAAGTGATTTTCTTACGTTGGGATTTACCATGGAAAATGCAAAGGAAAAGTTAAAAATTGATTAGCTTTTCTCTTTTATAAATGTATTAAGATTTCTTAGTGTTTAATTAGTTGAATAAATACATTAAATTTACTTGAACAAATATCTCAAATAAATTGATTGAGTTTGAGCAAAATTTCTATTTTCCTCAAATTCTCTTACATACTTCCAGTTTCACTCCCAATTCTCTTTCCCTAGTACTTTCCAGGTTATAAAACAGACTCTTATGAGTGAAGATTCAAGGAAATGTTGGCATTTGGTAGAAAGAACAATAGAAAAAATAGAGAGGATATGGACTTAAACCTGATGGGCGATTGCTCTTCGGGAAGATGGGAGATATCTTTATTTATTCCCTTAGATGAGTGTGAAGCAAGTTCCATGAGAAAACCAGCAACAAGAAGTAATTCTTCGAGGGAGGAAAACAAGCTAAGTGACTGTACAAAAGTAATGAATGTACCTGGTGACCCAGGAGGGGGGGGTCAAAGATACACCTAAGCATTTTTGTTTCTTAATGGCGTGAAGAATTTGTCAGGGCAGTCTTTCTTGGCTGCCGATATACCTGTAACAATAGGAAGATTATGGGAAACAGGGAGGTCCTCAGATGGAGCATCATCATAGGACAAATTTGAGGTAACTGTGGACTGTAGTATCAACTTTGGCTTCAACTTCAGGTGGATCAGAATAAAGCCATCATCTCCCGAACATGTTGTGCGTTTTGTCTGAGCAGCAGTAGCATCAATCAAGTGAGCATCAGTGACAATCAAAAGCAGATGAACTTCACCAACGGTTACTGCCTTGTTAGAGGTAGCCACCGGGGGTTCATCTAAGCCTACCATAGTATCCAAATTGGTCGGTGTGCCATTAATGGCTCCCAAGCCAGCATCAAAAGGGCCTGGGCCAGAATTTTCCTCATGGACAGTTTGAAGAGCAATATCAAGTGCAACACTAAACTGCTTCAAAAGATAAGTTTTAAGAAGGGATGGTTGCCAACATATATAGATACAACTTATATATTCTTCTTTCCCAATCATCACTCAGGAGGTTCATGGCATTTTCTGTTTCCAGGCAGCAATCTAGTGTGCTCCAAAAAAGCAAATAAGAAGCTGCACAAAATTGATACTGGCATTCAAAATTAATGATGACTCACAGTTTTGTAGAACACCAGCATCCACGAAAGAACAAAATTCCCCTACGCTAATAGAAAATTTAATTCATTACTCAAAATTAAGAATTAGTTTGAAAAAACTAATCTCAATATAACTAAACTGTAGGGCATATCTCCTCTTAAGAGTTTGGCTGTTGGACCAGAAGAAAATTAAAAAACAGTTGAATAGTACTCAGAAAGAGTTTCTTCAGTGGACCTGTTTTGGACAATGTTGGCAACTGAGCTAGTTGGGACAATTTTTAGGTTATTCAGAGTGGTAACATTAGATGATGGATCAGAAAAGGGATCATCATTTCTCGAATCCAAGGTTTGACTCAAAGAATCAAACTTGTTAATCTTCGGGACCTCATATTCTTTCTGAGCCTCAGAAGCATCATCGGCAACAAGGTGAATATCAGATGTAATTACTATAATCTCTGAGACAGATTAATCATAAGCAATAATACTGTTATCACAGGCAACTTTCTCACATGCAACATTTTCACAGGCAACATTTTCACAATCAGTAATAGCTTAATAGGGACAGGGGCATTTTCACATTAATCAATATCAGGGCCATCTTTTACAGAACAGTTCACAATAAGAACATTTTCACTATCAGTAACAGGGACAGAAGCAACACAAATAATAAGAGCATTACAGGCAACTTTAGTATTGCAGAAGTTATCACAGTAAGTCTCACTTGGAGTCCCCTTAAATCTTAATGAGTGAAGCGGAAATGGATAAGTTATTGTTGAAAGTTGGGGCTCTGTTATTGTTGAAATTATCACAGTAAGTCTGCAGACTTTTCCTTTACACATCGGGGTGTGTATTTTTGGCAGCAGTAACCTCAGCATCCAAAGAAGGCTGGAGCATCATCGATTTGGGTCCAATTTGAGAAAACCCTAGGGCTCGAAGGCCTTCCGAATAGCAGCCAGAGGGTGGGTGGCCATAAGGGCAGGTCCCAACCAGAGAGTAACAACAGAAATTAGAGGACAGAACCTTGACTTCATCTTAGGAGAAGGAACCCCCAAATAACCTTTAAATCTTAGCGTTGCCAATGTCTGAGAAGGAGTCTGGATGTGAGTACAGGCGGTGGCCGGGTACAGACTACCTTACCGCCGCTGCATACAAGGGCTTCCTTGCAGCGCCAACAGTATCATGGTCCTCCGCCTCCGGCATTAGGATGTCGCACAGGCATCGGGTGAGAAGCACGAGCAACGAAATTAAGAGAGAAGGTAGAGCAGCGGATGATAGACATATTATCTCACTCGAAGAAGCCCATCCACACACTGGAACAGGAACAAACAGAAGCAAGCATTTTCTCAGCCACACGAAAAATTGGAACCGAGGGAAAAAGACGGTAACAGAGCGTTAGTTTCCTCTGCGCCAATTTGATGTTTCCGTCGAGCACTGTATAAACGGAAATAGGACCACTAACGCTCTTAGAGCCTTTAATATATAGTAGGATAGGATATATATATATATATATATATATATATATATAATAAAGATCAAATGAGAACAATGCTTAACATGAGAACGTGAGAACACCACATTTACCACAACGTGTTGCACAATGAAGCTTGTATATTGCACTTTTTCGTGTTTTCACAATATTTACCAAAATGCCACCGTGTTTATTTAGTATAGGCTTAATCGAGCAAATTGAAAATGTGCAACATAATAGCTCCATTGTTCACCACATTGATTTAAATGTGAGTGTTCTCACGTTCTCACGTTAAGCATCGTTCTGGTGGTGGTGGTGGTAGTAGTAGTAGTGGTGGTGGTGGTGGTGGTGGTGGTGGTGGTGGTAGTGGTGGTGGTAGTGGTAGTGGTAGTGGTAGTGGTTGTGGTGGTGGTAGTGGTGGTGGTAGTGGTGGTGGTAGTTGTAGTGGTGGTGGTAGTGGTGGTGGTAGTGGTGGTGGTAGTGGTGGTGGTAGTGGTAGTGGTAGTGGTAGTCGTAGTGGTAGTCGTAGTGGTAGTCGTAGTGGTAGTCGTAGTGGTAGTCGTAGTGGTAGTCGTAGTGGTAGTCGTAGTAGTAGTCGTCGTAGTAGTCGTAGTAGTAGTCGTAGTAGTAGTCGTAGTAGTAGTCGTAGTAGTAGTCGTAGTAGTAGTCGTAGTAGTAGTCGTAGTAGTAGTCGTAGTAGTCGTAGTAGTCGTGGTAGTAGTCGTGGTAGTAGTCGTGGTAGTAGTAGTCGTAGTCGTAGTAGTCGTAGTCGTAGTAGTCGTAGTCGTAGTAGTCGTAGTCGTAGTAGTCCTAGTCGTAGTAGTCGTAGTCGTAGTAGTCGTAGTCGTAGTAGTCGTAGTAGTCGTAGTCGTAGTAGTCGTAGTCGTCGTAGTCGTAGTCGTCGTAGTCGTAGTCGTAGCAATAGCAGTCGTAGCAGTAGCAGTAGCAGTAGTGGCAGCGGTAGTGGCAGCGGTGGTGGTGGTAGTGGTGGTGGTAGTGGTGGTGGTAGCGGTAGTGGTAGTGGTAGTCGTAGTGGTAGTCGTAGTGGTAGTCGTAGTGGTAGTCGTAGTGGTAGTCGTAGTGGTAGTCGTAGTGGTAGTCGTAGTAGTCGTAGTAGTAGTCGTAGTAGTAGTCGTAGTAGTAGTCGTAGTAGTAGTCGTAGTAGTAGTCGTAGTAGTAGTCGTAGTAGTCGTAGTAGTCGTGGTAGTAGTCGTGGTAGTAGTCGTGGTAGTAGTAGTCGTAGTCGTAGTAGTCGTAGTCGTAGTAGTCGTAGTCGTAGTAGTCGTAGTCGTAGTAGTCCTAGTCGTAGTAGTCGTAGTCGTAGTAGTCGTAGTAGTCGTAGTCGTAGTAGTCGTAGTCGTAGTAGTCGTAGACGTAGTAGTCGTAGTCGTCGTAGTCGTAGTCGTCGTAGTCGTAGTCGTAGCAATAGCAGTCGTAGCAGTAGCAGTAGCAGTAGTGGTAGCGGTAGTGGCAGCGGTAGTGGCAGCGGTAGTGGCAGCGGTAGTGGCAGCGGTAGTGGCAGTGGTAGTGGCAGTGGTAGTCGTAGTGGTAGTCGTAGTGGTAGTCGTAGTGGTAGTCGTAGTGGTAGTCGTAGTGGTAGTCGTAGTGGTAGTCGTAGTAGTAGTCGTAGTAGTAGTCGTCGTAGTAGTCGTCGTAGTCGTAGTAGTAGTCGTAGTAGTAGTCGTAGTAGTAGTAGTCGTAGTCGTAGTAGTCGTAGTCGTAGTAGTCGTAGTCGTAGTAGTCGTAGTCGTAGTAGTCATAGTCGTAGTCGTAGTAGTCGTAGTCGTAGTAGTCGTAGTAGTCGTAGTAGTAGTAGTCGTAGTAGTAGTAGTCGTAGTAGTAGTAGTAGTCGTAGTAGTAGTCGTAGTAGTAGTCGTAGTAGTAGTCGTAGTAGTAGTCGTCGTAGTCGTCGTAGTAGTCGTAGTAGTCGTAGTAGTAGTCGTAGTAGTAGTCGTAGTAGTCGTAGTCGTAGTCGTAGTAGTCGTAGTCGTAGTCGTAGTAGTCGTAGTCGTAGTAGTCGTAGTCGTAGTAGTCGTAGTCGTAGTAGTCGTAGTCGTCGTAGTCGTCGTAGTCGTAGTCTTAGTAGTCGTAGTCGTCGTAGTAGTAGTCGTCGTAGTCGTAGTAGTAGTCGTAGGCGTAGTCGTAGTAGTAGTCGTAGTCGTAGTCGTAGTCGTAGTCGCAGCAGCAGCAGCAGTAGTAGTAGTAGGATCTAGTTTATTCATACCAAATTTCTGCTAAAAATTCAATCGGAAAGGCAGTCAAAAGTGTAATTGAAAACCACTGCGCTGTTTATATGGGAAAAGCTCTTTGTATCTGAACCATTTATATAGTCCAACGGCACTTAAATGGAAATTTTTCCAACATACTCGACCTAATTGTAGGAGTAGAATCGATACGATCTGGGTCGGGGTTTTGCTAAACCCGAAAACTATTTGTAAGATCTCGGATTATGAAAATTGGGGACCGGATCAGAACAAGACTCATTATATTCGATGGCATTGGACTTTTTATAATTAGGGTTCAATCCGAGTTCGGGTAGGACCAGTTAAATCTTAAATGAGAAATATCACCTTACCTTTTATATTTTAAAATCTATTTTCAAATAAAATTACCCAATACAATAAAAAAATTACTCAAAGTTACAAATTAAAAATAATAAGACAAATATTAGTATTCAAAATCACCAACAACTCAAATTCAAACAAAATCATTTATCTTACTTTTGCATTTAAGATATATAAATATGTAACTAAATTTATTTATAACGTATTTTCATGATCGGTATACAACTTGAAAATGGTTATAGTCACTAAAAAATAGTGAATCGTTTTCCCCCAACACGCTTATTCTAGTAATATATTAGAAGTTATTTCTAAATAATAATCATATAATCGTATTAAAGATAATTATTTCGGATTTTGAGATGCTGATATATTTTAGAGACGACTGGTGAACCAAGGCTAGTCTTTTGGATCGGGCTAGGGTCAGTTTACAAGTTTGAGTTCAGTTTTTCCCCACCGTACCTGAATGGCTGAATGAACGTTGATGAAAGGAAGGCAATTCACCCTTAGGCCTTTGCTTCATCTTCTCCGGTTTCCCATCGCATTCCACTCCCATTAAAGGCAATTTCCGGTGATGATAAGATTGGCGGCGGCTGCCACATCCACCATCAAGCCGCCACATCCCCATTTATTTCTGTCAGGTAAACCTTTGTCATTTTCGATTGCTTCCTCACCTATCCTCGAGGACCCTGCTACTCCTAAGGAGCTCTATTCTCAGCTCCTCTCTCTCCTGTCCCTCCCGAATTGGCAAAAGAGTCATTCTCTCAAGAGACTATTACCTTCTCTGTCCCCTTCTCATATCTCCTCTTTTATCTCCAGAAACCAGTCTCTCGATCCATGTACTGCTGTTTCCTTCTTCGACTATCTCTATCGTATCCCTTCATTCAAGCTTGATGCGCAGTGCTATTTGTCTCTCCTTCACATTCTCATACCCCGAAAGCTGTTTCCCGCCGCGGACCGGATACGCGTTTTGATGATTAAATCCTGCGAAAGCCCGGATGAAGCGAAATATGCCGTTAGTTTGTTTCTGGGTATGCATAATGTCGATGATCATGATGATGGTGGTGGCAGTAGTCTAAAATTCAAATTTAAGCTCAATGTTAGGTCTTGTAACACGATGTTGATGTCTTTGTCGAGGTTTCTGCTGATCGAGGATATGAAATGCTTGTATCTGGAGATGTTGAGGGTTAAGATTTCACCTAATATTTACACATTTAATACTATGATAAACGGGTACTGCAAACTGGGCAATGTGACTGAAGCTGAGATGTACATGAGTAAGATCTGTCAAGCTGGATTGAGTCCAGATGCTCACACATACACTTCGTTCATCTTAGGTTATTGCAGGAAAATGGATATAAGTAGTGCACTTAAGGTATTCGAGGAAATGCCTCAGAAGAGTTGTCCAAGGAGTCATGTCACCTATAACATTTTGATGCATGGGTTGTGTGAAGCTGCAAAGGTAGATGATGCGTTGAAGCTGTTTTCACAAATGGGGATTGATCATTGTTGTCCAAATGTCCGGAGCTATACAATTTTGATTGATGCATTGTGTGAATTGAATAGGGAAGTGGAGGCGTTGAATCTGTTTGATGAGATGGTGGAGAAAGGTTGCCAACCAAATGTCCACACTTACACTGTTCTCATTAATGGGATGTGTAAAGGAAAGAAGCTTGTTGAAGCAAGAGGGTTATTAGATGAGATGGGGAAAAGGGGTCAAGCTCCTAATGTGGTAACTTACAATGCTTTGATTGATGGGTACTGTAAAGTGCAAAATGTTGATTCTGCAATGGAGATATTCAACTTGATGGTGTTAAATAAGTGTATGCCAAATGTGCGCACATATAATGAGTTGATTTCTGGATTTTGTCTGGTGAAAAAGGTGCACAAAGCAATGGGACTACTTGATAAAATGCTTGAACAGAAGCTCTCTCCTTCTGTTGTCACATACAATTTGTTGGTCCATGGACAATGTAGCGAGGGCCACATAGATAGCGCTCTCAGATTGCTTACGTTGATGGGTGAGAGTGATGTGGCTCCAAATGAGCAGACCTATGGTCCTGTGATCAATGCATTATGTGAAAAAGGTTGTGTTAAACATGCTCGTTCCATATTTGACTCTTTGAAGGATAAGGGTTTAGAAGCAAATGATGTGATATACACCTCTTTAATTAATGGTTATTGTAGAGTAGAAAATCTCGATGTTGCCCTAACTTTGTTCAAAAGGATGCTTGATGAGCAATTCATTCCAAATTCAAGCACCTATAATGTAATACTTGGTGCTTTATGCCAAAACAATAAGCTCCAGGAAGCCACTAAGTTGTTGGAAAGTATGGAAAAAAGAGGAGTCAAACCCACTGTAGTCACATACAGTATTTTGATTGAGAAAATGCTAAAAGATAATGATTTTGGCGGTGCTTATAGGGTTCTTAATTTAATGGTGTCCTTGGGATCTAAACCTGATGTCTGCACTTACACTTCATTTCTTGTGGCATATTGCAACCAAGGGAAGTTAAAAGAAGCTGAAAAATTGATGGCGAAAATGATAAAGGACGGGGTAACGCCAGATTTGATGACATGTACAGCATTAATGGATGGGTATGGACGTTTGAGATTACTAGATCACTCCTTTCGTACTTTTAAATCTATGGTTGGTGCTGGATGTAAACCTTCGCTTTATACCTACTCAGTTTTAATCAAGCATTTGTTACATGAAAATCGAATAGCAAAATGTGTCAATAGGTTTGAAGTTGGGTCTATAAACATTGTGGATGTGTGGAAAATAACGGATTTTGTAACTGTTGTTGCATTGTTTGAAAAAATGGTGAAACATGGCTGCCCTCCTGACACAAATACATATAGTACACTGATTTATGGACTTTGTAGAGAAGGACGCTTTGAAGAATCTAGGATGCTTGTTGATCATATGAAAGACTGTGGAATGTCTCCTGGTGAAGATATCTATAACACACTGATAAGATGTTGCTGCAAGTTAAAAAGGTATGATGATGCAGCAAATTTGGCTGATACAATGGTTATGCATGGTTATTCACCACATTTTGAGGCCTACAATTTCCTCGTATGTGGACTCTATGAAGAAGGACGTAAGGAAAGGGCTGAGGAAGCTTTCTTAAAGCTCCTTAACTGTGGTTATAATAATGATGAAGTTGCATGGAAACTGTTAATTAACGGCTTACTTAAGAGAGGGCTTTCGGATAGATGCTCCGAGGTTTTAGGTATCATGGAAAAAAATGGTAACCTGATTCGTCCTCAAACATATACTATGCTGATAGAAGGACTTATTCAAACAGAAGGGCGTGTAGAAGAATAGTAATGTGCTCGATTGAGTATCTATGGAGCATCTTTATGCATTGATTCTTACTTCTGCAATGATTTGTACGCCATTCTTGAGTTGCCACTTCAGTCAAGTAGTCCTGTCCAAGAGCTCCGCCTTCTAGTAAAACTGATCAAGAGAGCAAGATTAAGTGGCAGCAGTAAGACTTTTTTTATTTTTTTATTTTGTTTTATTTCATTTCGTATTTTCGATTCATTTTGTTTTATTATCTTGCTTTTGGGACTAAGGCTTGGATGTTGTTGTTGTTGTATTTTATTATCTTGCATTATTCTGATTATTTGGTTCCAGTTTTCACAGGAAAGTACATTCATATATCAAAATTTTATACTCTTTTAGTTGACACCCACCCACATACATCCCCCTGTCCTAAAAAGTTTTGGCAGGTTCTACTTTTTTTGTCATCAAAGATGTTGAGTTTTGATCAATCCTGTTTTTTATACAAAATTATTTATAGTTCACAAAGGCAGTTTAAACGCTTCCTTTATTAAAAAAACTTCAACAACAACATCCAAGCCCTAGTCCCAAAAAAACCTTAAAGTACAAATTTTATTGTTTTCACTAAATTGAAAATGTTTGACCATGCAATTTTCGACGCTTTTCATTATGGGTCATCCGGAAACAATCTTTTTGTGCTTTAGTACAAGGGTAAGGCTGCGTACATCCGAACCCTTCTTACCCCACCGTAGGTGGGAGCCTTTGCGGCACTGGGGTAATGTTGTTGTTGTTGAAAATGTTTGACCAGAAAAGACAAACCTGGCTGACTTTGTGGGATGGAGGGGATACGTGTGCACACATATACACTTATTTGCTTCATAGAAAACATGCTGATTGTATTGGTTCTGCTCTCTTTGTAGTTTCAGATGCTACGTTGAAAAAGTGAACTGCTAAAAGTAGTGAGGCTCCACCGGTGAGCCGTCCTGAAAATGAGCCATCATTAGTCAAAGAGGGATTATATGCATTTCCGTAATGAGGAAATAAGTACTTTATGCCCCACAGAAGCAAACCCTCTCAATGGCCTTATTCTTTAAGATGATAGATTTTAGGTCCTGTTGGCCATACATTTCGAATGGCGGATACTTCCTTTATAGGGACCTCCTCTTGGCAGAGAACTGCTGCTGTTGGTCGGTATTGCTCCATAGATGACAAAATGTGAGGTGGCAGGAAGTAGTGATAATAAAATATGATGAAGCACGGTGAGCAAATGATGAATCAAATGATGAGCAAACACTTGTCAAAGTATTGAGGTAATTGATTTCTAGTTTCTATATTTAGATTCTAGTTTTCGCACTAAAGCTAACACTTTCTCCTTCAACCTCTATGCGCTTCTTGAAATATGTATTGTCATTTGTCAATCTTAAGCTTTTACCATTCATTCTCCTTTATTTGTTGAGCAATGTTATTGATTATATCTGCTACCTTTGGTACATTTTTTTCATTACTTTGCATCTCCTTGGTAGTTGACCTCAGGAAGTCATGATATTACTTATTGGCTCATGTAGCCAACCCCAATAGTTCAGGATCGAGGCTTGGTTGTTATTGTTTTCTTTTCCTTGCTAGCAATTACTCACTGGTAGGATCATTAGCTATTCACTTTGTGAAAGGGAAAAGGGGCAAATAAGGCCACGTACTAACAAAAAAAGGTCAAATAAGGCCTTATTTATGAGACTCTGTCCGGCCTTCGCCATTTGGGTTGGTTCTAGTTGGAATTTTTTGATGAAATTTTTTGAGCATCTTATTCAGTAAGTCTAGTTTACTCATACCAAATTTAAGCTAAAACTTCAATCGGGAAGCCATTCAAATGAATTCTTGAAGATAATTGCGCAGTTAAAAGCGCAGTTATCTTCAAGAATTCATTTGAATGCCTTCTCGATTAAATTTTTATCTGAAATTTGGTATTAGCAAACTAGACTTAATGAATAAGATGGTCAAAAAAATTAATCAAAAAATTCCACCGAGAACCACCCCAAATGGCGAAGGCCGGACAGAGCCTCATAAATAAGGCCTTATTTGACCTTTTTTGGTTAGTACGTGGCCTTATTTGCCCCTTTTCCCCTTTGTGAAATGAAGGGATGGCTTAACATTCAGTCTTCCTTGAATTATATATGGCATGCTCTATTTATGAAGCTTGAAAGAGTTAGCTGTAAAAATAAGTATGGAACAGATTTGATGATTGTTTCAGAGTGAATGTAACATTGTGTAAGATCTGGATACATTTTTCTGGTTAGTAGGATCACATTATTATTGATGTGTCTCTATATGGTAAAAAAATACTAGCATGAGAAATCCTGCATGTATTTTTGCTTTCTGTGGAGTACTTATGGATGTAATACGCCTCATAGTAGTATTGTTTTCTCCAATGGGTTGCTCATGTAATCCTGTTATTGGGGTTTGATCTAATCTTTTCTTGCACAGACAGGAAGTTTTGCGGAACCCATTGATTTCTACTTTGACTTATGCTGCTGTCACCGATTCCACATAACATCTGCAAATGGAGGAGAGCAAACAAGAGTACTGATGATCTTATGGTTGAGAGCCACCTCCTCAAGTTATGAATAATTTGGTGGTAAGGTTCAGTGAACCTGCATGAGCTGTGGAGTAGGTGCTGAATGTAAAGAATTTAGGGACTCTAGTTTCAAGATCACTCCTGAAGTACTCTTCCAAAATAGGAACTAGCAAGCACTTGTAGTCATTTCCCAGTCAGATCATGTGAAGTAAAAGACACGGAAATTGAAGAATGGATTAGCAATGCGTACCGAGTGGTACATCTTTTTTGCTGTCTCTTGCATCATGTGAATCATATGCAATATGGTAATGTGTCATTTCTTAGCATTTTAGGGGTTGTTTACTTGTGACTTAATAAGAAAAATAATGACCAATGTAGTTGGCTGGACAGGCTCTTGGAATATCACGTTGCACACCAGGTTTCGATTCGCTTTGGAGGCAGATTTTGCATTTAATCTCGGGTTTTACAATTTTTTTGGGTTTGGGCCATCCAGGGTTACGGTCTGAGTCAGGCGATTTGCGGGTAATTCCGGGTTTCGACACAATAGCGAGTTGATGGCCTAGCGGACCGGATTGGGCTCCGGATGATCGGGTTCCATGTCGACCTGCCTAGTCTGGCCCGGTTCTTAAAACATAGTGTGAAGCACTAGGACTTGATTTAGTTTGTTTTTCAAAAGATTATATATTATTGATTTAAAAAACTCTTTCATTTAGATGAAGAAGCGTGATGTATCGGGGAGAGGATACGTTAGCATGTTGTGCATGAAACTCATTAAATAAATTATCAAATATAGGGAGAACTACCAAATAAGCCCTCGAACTTTCACAAAAAGTGCAAATAAGCCCTTTTATAGGAGGTTCTTTCCGACCGTCGCCATTTCGGATGGTTTCCGGTGGAATTTTTCGTTGAAATTTTTTGTTGAAATTTTCTGAGAATCTTCTTCATTAAGTCTAGTTTACGCATATCAAATTTCAGCTAAAAATTCAATCGGGGAGGTAGTCAAATGAATTTTTGAAGATAACTGCGCAGTTAGGCAGCGCAGTATACTTCAGAAAATCATTTGACTGCCTTCTCGATTGAATTTTTAGCTGAAATTTCGTATGAGTAAACTAGACTTAATGGAGAAGATTCTCAAAAAAAATCATCAAAACATTCCACCGGAAACCGTCCCAAATGGCGATAGCCGGACAAAGCCTCATGTAAAAGGGCTTATTTGCACTTTTTATGAAAGTTCGAAGGCTTATTTGATAGTTCTCCCTGAAATATATTACTGACCCTGTTGAGTTGCGTTTGAACATTAATAGGGTTGTCGTTAGGGATGGATTCGGGTCGGGGCCGGGCCTAGGCCCGGTCGGGCCGCCGGTTCAAGAAAAGTGGGCCCGGGACCGGCCCGCGGGTTGGACGGGTCCGGTTCGGGCCACCCGCCCGGGTCACGGGTCGGGTCCGGTTCGGGCTGGGCCGGTTAATTTTTTTTTATAATTTATATTTTATAGTTTATAGTTTTATACGAGTATTAAAAACAAACTTCAATTGCATTTATTTGAAATGAAATAGGAACTGCATTTAAAAATTAAAACAAACTTTAAGAGATAAACATTTTGAAAATTGTAATCAATCGGAACTTCCTGCACCTCCCGATCCTTTGGCTTTGTTACATGACTTCATATGCTTGATTGTCATCCCGAATCCGCCTGAAGCCCCCATGATACATTTTTTTTCGCACCATTTGCAAATTGTGTACCACATCCCGGTCTTCGGGTCCTTCTGCTTATCAAAATTATACCGTATAATGGCATTTTGATTTTCCATCTTAACTTCTTGGAGAAGAGAATATGAGAGTAGATATATAATATATTGGAGAATAAGAGAATTAGAGGGTAGAGAGATAAGAATAGGATTTAGGAAGAATTGGAGAAGAGATATGAAAAAATGTTTAAGATTAGGAGTATTTATAGGTTTTTTTTACCCCCCACCACCCCCCCCACCCCCCCACCCAACCCCCCTGAACCCCCCCTTTACCCCACCCAACGGCTATATAGCCGTTTGGGTTGTCCCCACCCCCCACCCCCAACGGCTAGTAGGAGCCCAAGAGCCCCAAACCAAAAAAAAAAATTTAAAAAAATTGAACCGGGTCACAATAATGCTGAACCGAGCCCGCCCCGCCCCTTCCCACCGGTTCGGGCCCATACCCGGTCCCGGACCGCATGACCGGGCCGGGTGGCCCGAATCGAATCCATCCCTAGTTGTCGTCGTACATATGCAAGTTGTCGTATAAATAACTACCATACTACTCTAAGTAGGCATGGATCGGGCATGGGCCGGTTCATAGCGCGCTTCTTTTTTATCTTTGGCCCGGGCTCGGCCTGGGTTGATACTGGGTCCGGGCCGGTCCAATGTATAATTTTTTTTGCTTTCTAATTACCCCCCCCCCCCCCCCCCCCCGACCCCCCCCCCCCTAGGGATGGACTCGGGACCGGGCCGGGTCCGGGTCGGGCCTAGGCCTGGGCCGGCCCGGGTAACCACCGGGCCGGGCCCATTATCATTTTTTTTTTGTTTTCCTCTTCCTAATTAACCCCCCTCCCACCCCCAACCCCCAAACCACCCCAAATGGCCCAAAATACCCAGCCCAACCCGAAAATTTCAAAAAAAAATTGAAAAAAAAAACATAGTTTTTGGCCCGAATCGGGCCCGGCTGGGTCGGGCCTTGTTTTGGGTGACCCGAACCCGGACCAAAAACCCACAAACTGGGCCTACCCGGACCGGTCACTGACCGGGCAACCGGGTCGGGCCGGGCCGGAACAGTACCGGTCCCGGGCCGGTTCCGAGTCGGGCCACCCGGTCTGAGTCCATCCCTACCCCCCCTCAAACCTCCCCAAAACACCCAGCTCTACCCAAGGAAAAGAAAAAAATTGAAAAAACAAAGAAAAATGAATCGGGTCCCGCCTGAACCGCCCGAGCCGGTTCAAGAAAAATAGGGCCCGAGCCCAGCCCGCCAGGCCCGCCCACACCGGGCTAAAGCCCGGAACCGGTCATCCGGTCCTGATCCGGTCCGAGCCCGCACAGTAGCAGACCGGTCTGGTTCACGGGCCGGTTTGGCATGTTTCGGTCCACCCCCAACTCTAAGAATGTTTGATAACTAGCAAATTTGAAACGAGATCAATAACGAAAGCAATAGCAAATATACTTATATAGGCGGAATGTAGCTGTAATATTTTAAAGACGAAATTCACAAGAATAATCCCTACTTTTAGGGATTCTACAATAATAATCTCTACAAAGAGTGTGTATAAAAATATTCTAAACTAGGAATAATATCCACATGAATAAATTGGAATGAATTCAAATTAATTTTTCGTTTAATACCCCCCAACTCCTACCTTCATTTTCCTTTTTACCACTCTTCGTCTATGGTAGACTTCTACCTTCCAACTTGAATTCACCCCGAGAAGAAGAGCGAGGAAGGGAAAAGTGTGAGTAGAGGTTGAAAGTATTAAACGAACATTTGTTTAAATTCACTTCAATTTATTCAATTTATTCTTGTGAACACTATTGCTAGTTCGGATTATTTTTATGAACTCTCAATAAGGATTATTATTGTAGAATCCCTAAAAGTAGGGATTATTCTTATGAATTTCTGTGTGATTTATGCCCAGATACAACAATCGAATAATCTAATAATATTGAATAGAATTTAAAACAGTAGAAGAGAAATTTCATCAATAATGTATACCGTGTATATAGAATGATGTTTCCATGAAGAACAATTACACAGTACTTGAACGTATCAGCTAGAGAGAGAAATTCTAGTCTATTGGCTCTACAGAGAATAATATGCGGAATAGAATGTGTAGAGACTTAGAGCTAATTTTGACCAACTCCTTTTGAATTTATAGGGAGTAGTTCGGCCAGCCCTATTACAATTAGGAAACAACAGCTTTAGGCGTGTGGACTTATTAGAGCCAGATTAAATGGGCTTAATTCTCTCTCAGCTAATCTAATTAAAATACAAAAACTCATTAATTAAATTACAATTAATTTGAACACAATAAAATAATATTCTAACTTTCTCCCCCTTTGTGTTCAAATATCGATGAAGCGCGCATTATCTCTGAGTCTTATACAATGACTTCCGATAGCCTAGGATGACTTCATAATGTCTGAGGGTACTTCTGAAATCAAGTCTAACTCCTACGGCTTCGTGAAAATCTGCAATAAGAGCAATCTGGACTGGGTCATCTGGATCTTCAGAATTTTGTAGCTTCAGTGCAGCTTCTCCCAAATGGTTTTCTATGATTCTTAGTGTACCATCGCAATATTTGTGAATTTCGTTCATGAGTAGGACTCACTTGATGCCTTTGTAGTCTTTGTAGATCAGTCCTATCTCTGGTTGTGTGACGATGGTGCCTTCTTCAAAATTCTCGACCCAGGGAGCTCTATTTCTTGGTTCAGACATGTTCACTTTCGGAAAATTGTTTTCTATGGCCATTTGCAGATCAAAGAGTGAATAGTATTTGACTTGTCTCATCATGAATCTCTTGAGTGCATTAAGGCCTAGATCTTTGTCCTTCTGAGATAGATATGAGAAGTTGACGAATCTATACTCGTAGAATAATTGGATCAGATCAGTAGAAGTTAAGTAGTACAGATCAGCTTCAGATGCTCTTTGAATCATGCCATTCTGTCGTTCAAACTCATATATTGGATAGTATGTGCTTCTTCCAATATGATGTATCACTATGGCTCGAATAGCTATGATCATTGAATCAGAATGCTTGACTAATTTCTTCCTGTGTCCATAAGGATCATTTTGATCAGCTGACATGTTCCGTAGCATCCAAATGTGTCCAGAAGCATCAGTTCCTTTCAAATGTTCAAGTCCTCGTAGCTCAAGCTCGTCAATCTTCTTGATTCCTTTCTCACTTCTCCAAATTCGTGGTCTCAGATCTTCTTGGTATGGTACAATAATCTTGACATTCTCTCAAGGTGTTTCAAACTTGTCTTCAATCTTGCTTTCACCTGGGCGCGTCTTGATCAGATCCTTTACAATGTGAAAATCAGGAAGTGGATCATCATAGAATTCTCCTTGAGCTATTTCTTCAGAGTCCAGTCCCATTAACTTTTCAGCAGCAGTCTTCTTGACTTCTCGTATGAAATTCAGTTTCTCAAGAGCTTCTTCATTGTTTAGCTTTTGGAGTTCGTCCTTCTCATTATCTTCTATCCAGTCGAGTAGTACCAGATCAGCAGCTTTTTCTTTGAGATCTTTTTCTTTTCTCTTTGAAACTCTTTTCCTTGGTGATGATGGTAGATCAGCTGGAATTGGGATAGAAGTGGTCTGAGAAGAATATGTAGCTCTCTCAGCATGTGGGACATGTGGATCATTTGGGACAAAAATCGTAGCAGAGGGTAACATAACACCGGAGTCACAAAGACTTACCGTTTTCATCATACTAGAGACTAGATCGTTTTGATGGCCTGAAGACAATGGTGATTCATATGTTGCATTGTCAGGTCTTTCTTCCAATCCTTGGTCAACATCCATGGAGGATGAGCCTATAGAAGTTCTCAAGAGGACACAAAGTCCTGGCTCAGTGTTTATGGGCTCGGAAGGGTGATAAACGGTTAAGGCTAGTGAGTCGTTGGGTGCGGTAGAGGTTGAGGGTTTAGGCTGAGAAGATGTAGATGGTTCAGAGCTAGTGGAGGATGGAATGATGTTTTGAGATGTGGTTTGCTCACAAGCACGTTGCCTTTTCTCCCCCTCATGATGATCCGAATCACCGGTGTCATCATGCTTACGCTTAGGCAAGCGTTCTTGATCACGGCAAGTGGTGGATGGAATGAATGGAGGGGTGAGGGGTAGGATGTTTCATACTTGAATGAGGTGAGGTGGGAGGATGGGTTCGGATAGGAGTCTATCAAGAAAATACTCGGATAAATCAAGAATGTTCTTTTGTTTTGGATCAGGGTGAGAGGTAGATGGAGCGGATGTGAGTATTATTGAGGTGGGTGTGATGGTAGATGGAAGAGTTCCTATGCAAGGAGTTGGGTGTGATCCTTGGTCTGCTACGCCTGTTGGGACTACAGGATGTAGGTCTTGTAAAAGTGAAAGCTTGAAGGCTAGAAGTTCAGACCTTAGATCCTCCCTAGTTAAACTAGCAAAAGAAGAAAAACCTGATCTAAATGATGTATCGGTTCTCACAACGTCACTAAGAATAGCGGTGCTATGGCCTGCTGGGGAGATCAGTGTGGCAGGACTTCCAACCATCATTGGCATACCTCT